TAAAATACATTTTTAAAAAGATTTTATTTATTTATTTGACAGAGAGAAAACACAAGCAGGCAGAGCAGCAGGCAGAGAGGGGGTGGGGGGGAAGCAGGCCCCGCTCTGAGCGCAGAGCCTGATGCGGGGCTCAATCCCAGGATCTTGAGATCATGACCAGAGCCGAAGGCAGAGGCTTAACCCACTGAGCCACCCAGGTGCCCCAAAATAAAATATTTTAAGAGAGACCACATTCATATAACTTTTATTACAGTATAATTTTTCTGTTGTTATTCTTGTTAATCTCTCACTGTGCCTAATTTGTAAAGTAAACTTTGTCTAGTTATGTATGTATAGGAGAAAACAGTACATGTAGGGCTCATTACTAGCCAAGGTTTAGGGCATCCACTGGGGGTCCTGGAATACATTCCCCAAGGGGAAGGGGGAGCTACCATATATTGGTAGTGGTCTGAACAACTAAGTGAGATTTAGAAGGGCAAGCCAAGAGGCTCTCTTCTTTGCCTTGACTTATTCAACAAAAGGCTATGATGAACCCCAAAATCTTGCTTATCAAATCTGTAGATGATGTGAAACAAGATTATTTATTTCAAGAGATGGTTATGAGGATTAAAATTTGGATTAGAGCCAAGATATATAAAGAATTGCAATTAGGTTTTTTAAAAGAGTCAGCTGGGGGCACCTGGGTGGTTCAGTGGGTTAAGCCTCTGCCTTCAGCTCAGGTCATGACATCAGGGTCCTGGGATCGAGCCCCGAATTGGGCTCTCTGCTAAGCAAGGAGCCTGCTTCCTCCTCACTCTGCCTGCCTCTCTATCCTACTTGTGATCTCTGTCTGTCCAATAAGTAAATAAAATCTTAAAAAAAAAAAAAAAGAGTCAACTGTACTTGGCGTGAGTGGGTTAATATGTAAAAAAAAAAAAATCTAGGAATGTTTAATGCTTACTTTAAATCAAGTTGATGATTAAATTGCTTTAAAAATGTTACCTTGAATGGGGCGCCTGGGTGGCTCAGTTGGTTAAAAATGTTACCTTGGGCAGTTTTAATACAAAATATTTGCTCTGATTTTGGGAGATAATAGTTTCACTGGACTCTTAGAAAAATCATCCATGTTTGGGGCACCTGGGTGGCTCAGTCGGTTGAGCGTTCAACTTTTGGTTTTGGCTCAGGTCATGACCTCAGGGTCCTGGTATCAAACCCTGAGTAGGGCTTTGCACTCAGCTGGTAGTCTGCTCGAGACTCTCTCCTTCTCCCTCTGTCCCTCCCCTGCTCACATGCACACCCTCTCTCTCCAATTTATAAAGATTTGTTTCTTTATTTGGGGAGCAGAGGGAGCAAGAAACTCAAGCAGACTCTGCTGTGAGCCCAAAGCCCAACATGTGGCTCAATCCCATGACCCTGAGATCACCACTGGCGCTAAAACCAAGAGCTGGATCCCAACTGACTGCACCCCCCAGGTGCTCCAATAAATAAATCTTAAAAAAAAAAAAAAGAAAAGAAAAAAAGAAAAAGAAAAAGAATCCACGTTCATTTTTGGAAAAAGATGATCAAAACCAAAAAAAAACCCCTCCAACCCCACCACTCAGATAATATACACACACACATGGTACACGTACTTTTATAGACCTTGTGGTTGTTTTCCTTTTTGCTTAAATTATCTTTGTGGCAGCAGATGCATATCTAAATCCTTGGATCCTGAAATTCTGCTGAGTGGTTTTTTTTTGTTGTTTGTTTTTTAAGTTTTTATTTTAATTCCAGTTAGTTAACATACAGTGTTATATTAGGTTCAGGTATATAATACAGTGATTCAACACTTCCATACAACACCGGGTGCTCATCGAATGTGCCCTCCTTAATCCCCATCACCTGTTTCATCCATCTCCTCCTCCCCCCCCCCGCCCCCCCTTACCGCCCACTTCCCCTCTGGTAACCATCAGTTTGTTCTCTATAATTTAAAGAGTCTGTTTCTCGGTTTGTCTCTCTCTTTTTTTTCCCTTTGCTCGTTTGTTTTGTTTCTTAAATTCCACACATGAGTGAAATCATATGGTACTTGTCTTTCTCTGACTGACTTATTTCACTTAGCCTTATACTCTTAAGTTCTATGTCTTTGCAAATGGCAAGATTTTGTTTTTTATGGCTGCATAATGTCCCATTATATATGTATCATATATATTTCATCTTTATCCATTCCTCACTTGATAGACAGCTGAGCTGCTTCCATACCTTGGCCGTGGCAAGTAATACCGCTATAAACATCAGGGGCCATGTGTTCCCTCAAATCGGTATTTTTGTGTTCTTTGGGGAAATACCCAGTAGTTCTCTTGTTGAATCGTGCGGTCGTTCTATTTTTAACTTTTTGAGAAACTTCCATGTTTTCTAGAGTGGCTGCATCAGCTTGTATGGCCATTCTCCCCAACTTCAACACCTGTTGTTTTCTTGTGTTGTTGATTTTTGCCATTCTAACAAGTGTGAGGCGGCGTTTCATTCTACCTCCGCTGTGTTAAAAGCTCCTTGCTTAGTGGTGATTCTCAGCTGCCAGAAATTATAATCAAAGACCTTCAGAGCCAGAAGGGCCAGTTTCATCAGCATTATGTGGGAACTTGGTAGAACTATAAATTGGGAAAGATCAACCATATCAGAAGCTCTGGGGGTGGGACCTAGTAATTTTGTGTTTTAATAACCCCTCCAGGTGACTTCACTCCACACTGAAATTTAAGAACAACTGACCAAGTTAAACCCTTTGCGTTTTTCAGATAGAGAAGCTAAGATCCAAAGAGGTTGTCACAAGTCAATTTAAGAAAGCACCAGAATCGGGGTGCCTGGGTGGCTCAGTGCGTTAAAACTTCTGTCTTAGGCTCAGGTCATGATCCAGGGTCCTGGGATAGAGCCCCGAATTGGGCTCTCTGCTCAGCGGGGAGCCTGCTTCCCCCTTTCTCTCTGCCTGCCTCTCTGCCTACCTGTGTGTGATCTCTGTCTGTCAAATAAATAAATACAATCTTTAAAAAAAAAAAAAAAAAAAAGCACCAGAATCTTCAGGCTGTGATTCCCTGGATGACCACATGCCTCAGGGAGATCTGTTTATTGGGCTAATTGCTAAACAGTATTTGAAAGAATGGTAAGTGGAAAAAAGTGTAATGGGGGGAGAATCTGTTTACCACTTTACTCACCTGGTGGGCTTGTTACAGTTCAACAGTAGCCTTTTGATTCACTGAAGTTTAGTCAGAGAGAAGAGTTTCATCTAATTTGTTTTAGTCCCTTGATTAGTCATATGTATCTTATTCCCCAAAGTAAGTTTTCATATCATTGAAATAACTGCCCCATTCTGTCACTACTGCCCTCTAATTACTCCCTACTGTGACCCTACAGCTTTCATTTTTTTTTTAAGATTTTATTTATTTATTTGACAGAGATCACAAGTAGGCAGAGAGGCAGGCAGAGAGGCAGGCAGAGAGGGTGGGGGGGAAGCAGGCTCCCCGCTGAGCAGAGAGCCCGATGTGGGGCTCGATCCCATGACCCTGGGATCATGACCTGAGCGGAAGGCAGAGGCTTTAACCCACTGAGCCACCCAGGCGCCCCTACAGCTTTCATTTTTAACAAGCTCCTTACACTTAAGTTTGAGGACCACTAATACAGAAGATGTTTGAAGTTGTTAAGGAAAAAACTACATGGACTGGACCAACATTTTCAATATTCTTTAATTTGGGTTCCACATTGAAAATTCCAAATAATTCACTAATGTGTTTATCATACAGCCAATATAACAACACCAGAGTTTGCTCCGGAAATTTGTAAAGGCATAGATAGCATTCAAATGGTTTTTTGAAAAAGTGCAATACAGTTTTCTCATTATTTGGGGAAGAAAAAGGTGGAGGGGGAAGTCACTGTAGGAGGGCCAAGACATCACAAAAGCAAGAACAAGAGTTTAAATAATGGATCCTGTTCTGAACTACAAATGTAGTCAACCCTGACTTTGTGCGGCATAAATTAAGGTCACGGACAACTCAGCAGTTGTCTGGAATTTTCGTTAAGATTACGTTGTGTGGAGCAGTCAAGGTTGAGGAAAAAAGATACGGTATCTGGGAACAAGAACAAAATAACTGCAAGATCAAAATGGTCTACCTTGAATTTTTTGCAGCATTTTAACGTTTTTCAAAGTACTTTCACATAAACTTTTACTTTATCCATGTCACAACCCTGTAAGGAAGGAAATTCGCATCGGCAAAATCGTTTTTCGAAACTTTAAATACTGGATCTACGAAGAAAAAAGGCGAGGAAGTTGGCAGAACCAGAGAAATGACAGAAGAGGATGTCAGTGAGGAAGCGAGCGGCCGCCAGGGCCAGCACAAAAGCTGGGGTCCGCGGAGGGGGAACTGAGAGGACAGAGACGAACCTGGCGGGGCATCGGAGGGCAACAGCTTTAGGGGCAAATAAGTGCAAAAAAGCCTGGATGCAGGACATTTGGGATTAGGAAACTGGAATTTACTTATCCGTACCAAAGAGAATGGATGAGGTCAAAGAAAAAAATGGAAAGCAGGCGGGCGCTTAAAGCTGCACGGAAGTTTTGTGGGCTCCGGCGACCACGGGGTTCGGCCTCAGGTTGGGAATAACGCGGAGGGGAGTCGCGCAGGGCGCGGGCGGGAAGACGCCGGAGCCCGGTAGCGCTTTCCCTGGACCAACAAAGGCGGCCGGGGACACTTTCCGAGTCACGCAACTTGCGGGGGCCGAAGGGTTAACTGCGCGCACGACTCCCGCGCGCTTCCCGGCCCCCATTCCCACCGTCGCTAGGAAACGCCGGGAGTGGGGGAGGGGCAGGCGGCGCGGCCGAGGGTGGGAATCTTTTTCGGTGCGCCCGGGGGCGGAGGGAGGGGAGCGCGCGTGCGCGCGCCCGCCGTCCGTCGCCGCGGTGACCGTCCTCGGAGTCCGTCGGCTCGCGCCCCGCCCCCGTTCTGCTGCCCCCTCCCCTGTGGCGCGCGGGGAGTGTTTCTCGCTCCTCCCGAGTTGCCGCCGCCGCCGTCGCCGCCGCTCCTCCTCTCCCAGTCTTGGGTTTCCCAGGCGTTGCTGCCGCCGCTACCTCTGCGGTCTGTATGAGGAGGAGGAGGATGTGAAGATGGCGGAGCTGCAGATGCTGCTGGAGGAGGAAATCCCGGGGGGCCGCCGGGCCCTCTTCGACAGTTACACGAACCTGGAACGGGTGGCAGATTACTGCGAGAACAACTACATCCAGGTGCGAAGCAGGTCCCGGCCTGGGCGCATTGGGCCTCCGGCTGGTGGACGCCGCATGGGGGATCCCCGGGCCGGGGGCCGCGCGCGCTGGGGGCGTAGGGCGCGCGGGGCCGAGGCCGCGGCCGCGGCGGGGTCCCGGCCCAGCTAAACCCCCGAGGGCGAGGGATTGGGAGAGTAGGGTGGGAGCCGGGGCTGGTGAATTGGTGAGAAACCTGCGGCTGGAGGAAATTGTAGCTTTAATACATTTTAAAAAACGGTGAATCAGTCCGCGGTGCGGTGTGTGTGTGTGTGTGTGTGTGTGTGTGTTGTGTCGTGTCGTGTCCCAGCCCCTTCGCTGCTTCTCCCCTCGGCCGCCCCCGCTCTCGGTACCCGTCAGTGTTCGGGATGGCGGAGGAGGCGGAGAGTGGCTTTTTCTATTTGACAGAATCCTGCTCCCCCATATGGCAGGGGTGTGGGGGGATTGATGGATCACCCCCCTCCCCCAAGCTCTGGAGGATTTTTAAGGGGCTGTGTTGCTGCGAAGTAAAGTGCCTTAGTTTTATATTCATATAAATGTCTCAGGAGACTGGTAATTTTGCTTATTTATTTTAGTTTCTAGCCGGGGATACAGTAGAAGAGCAGTTGTCTCTTGTTGGAAGTTATTGCCATTTTCCTCCCTATGGAGAATGTGAAATTGCATGATAATAAACACCCCCCCCCCCCATTCCCGGTAGAATAGTTCATTTTCCTGTGGGAAAAAGAATTGTATTTTTCAGCAAGGATTAGGAAAGGATCCTCATGGTTTAATTTTTTCTGGAGCTGGTTGGTTTGGCACGGAGACTCGTAGTGGTAACGCTGTGTGTATGTCTGTGGAGGTGGGGTATATTGGGTGAGATGGGATCCAGCTGCGCCCGGACGAAGCAAAAGATGCTGTGGATTAAAAAAAAAAAAAAAAAAATCCTTTTTTAAAAATTATTTGAAAGGATAGGTTAAAACACAGTTTGCAAATTTAGCATCTTTTGTTTTCTCTGTGGCTTATTCTGAATCACAGGTTCTACCTCCATTTTTTTCCCCTTCCCATTTAAATTCTCTTGGGATAAAGGTGGAAATGGAAGAAGTATGTTAAATTGCTCTTTCACTACCGTCTTTTCCTTTTTTTTTTCTTTCTCCCATTTCGATCTCTCCAGGCATCCTTCTTCTTATCAGCTATGTTGGGAAGCATTCTTCAGTCTTAGTATAAACTAAAAATTAAAAAAAAAAAAAGGTGTTAGGATTTATAGGTTCATAAATTTTGTAAGGATCGCATAGTTAATCAAGGGTGGTGTTGATTTTACTTGATTGGATATGTACTGAATTCTCTATTATCTTGTAGGGACTGTTCGTATTGGGGAAGGAACCAGGCATAATCCAAGGCTTTTCCCTCCAAAGGGGCACTTGAAAGTATGGCTAGTAGGAACAGAAAAAAATGTGTCTTAGGTCAGAGTTCATACAAAATATACAGTGGTCCATATTTGGAGGGTGCTTTGCTAATACCAAGCAGGATAGGAAAGAGTCAAATATTATTCAAAAGTCTTCTGCAGCCTGGCACAGTGTAAAGGGTTGATGATACACACCTAGTGTTTATAGAATTTCGTAGTGTAGTTCATAGGAGAGGCTGATCTGTGAACAGATGAATAATGTAGTGTGTCAATTTATACTCTGTAAGGACAGAAGGACTGGAGGAAGCTCTGCTATTCTCAGGGAATTCACAGTCTTTTAGGAGTGGCAAATCTAAAGGACTGAAGTGGTAATTCCATTGCCTCCTGCAACATATTATGGGATTATAGGTCTGAAGAGACAGTGGGAGTGGAAAAGTGGTTTGGTAGCAGTTATTACCAGTAGTAAAAAATAAGGAACAGATTTGTCTCTCTTTGGAAAATAATTTTTATTTTTGAAGGCATAGTTTTTCTTAGATTACAGTTGATACATAAAGGTAAAGTATATGGGTTAATAAAGCTGAGAGGTTAAAGGGCTTAGGGATTGCCTCTTTTTAAATATTTTATATATTTCTTCTAGTTGAGAGGAGGAGAATATTACTGCCACCATTATGTTTTAGCAATAGGATTAAAAATTTAGTGTGGTGGCATTTTAAATTCATAGTATAGATATTAATAGAAATGGATTTGAAAATATTTTTTCAATTTAGCATCTAAAATAGCTTTTACACTTTAGATTTTACCTCCTAGGTTATCATCTGTTTCATGATCCAGTGGGTATATTATTGGTGTTTTTCTCTTCCCAGATGACAGCTCTTTGGATGATTTGTTTGTAGTAAAGTTGATAAATAGAACATACTGATTGTATGTTTGTGCTGACCCAGCTGTACAGTTGACCCAACTGGCTCTTTGTGACCAGAGAACTGACCAGCAGGGGTTTTGATGCTGCCTCTTAACCCTGCAAAGTTAATTGGTTACTTATATGATCACGTAGTCAGTTTAGCCTTGTTATAGCAACGTGCCCTAACCACTAGCTCGAGTTAACTAACCTAACACTCATTTTATTTTGTGGAAATAATTTTTGCCAGTAAAGTAGAAAGAGATAAATCTGTTGATTATATATAACAAAGGGTAAGGTTCTTTGTTGCGTGTTCTTAAATAGCTGGTTTTAAGCATAGGAATATCCAAATAATTAGGTTAAATAAGAATATCCTAAATGTGGATTGTATTTAGTGTGGATATTGAGCAAAGGAAGGAAAAATGATTGTGCTGTCTTTCTGGAAACAACTATACTGTGTTTAAATTGTTGCTAATAAAAACATCCTTCATATATATTACCAGCATTAAGAGTGACTAGGTATTGCCTGTGTTAACACACACACATACACAAAATCTACAGGTACAGCAGTGTTGTTAAGTAGTAGTTTTTCAGGTTACTAATGCAGCTAATGTTAAAAATTTAAAAATCATCCTTAGTAAAAATTTAGATGGCTTTCTTTTATTATTTCAACCTTTAGAAAAAGTGATAGTAAACATATTTTTTCTAGAATGTGATGATGAAAAGTTGTAACTAATATTTGCTGCTGTTTACCTGGTTGATTTTATCTCTTCTCTGTAAAAAAGGGTTTAGTAATTATTTAGGAGTTTTTAAGATATGTGTAAGACCTGTGTTTCCTTTTTTCATTTATTAATATAAACATTGATACCTAAACTAAGTGTCCAGAAATTTTAAACAGTATTTTGATTGACTTGGAATCTACATTTTTACAAATAGAAGAATTTTATAATAATATGAGTTGTTTTAATGTTTTGGTAGATGAAATAAATTTCTAGTTGGTACCTTCCTAGAGTAATCTGAAAAACTAACTAATTCTTTTTTTTTTTTTTTTTTTTTTAAGATTTTATTTATTTGTCAGAGAGAGAGAGAGAAAACACAAAGAGGGGGAGTAGCCGGCAGAGCAGGCAGAGGAAGAAGCAGGCCCCCTGCTGAGCAAGGAGGGATGCAGGACCTGATCCCATGACCCTGGGATCATGACCCCAGCCAAAGGCAGATGCTTAAGGGACTTAGCCACCCAGGCATCCTAAAACTAACTTATTCCTAGTTAGATTTTTGCTTTTTTTTTTTTTTTTTTAATTTTCTATTTCTATTCAGCGTAACAGTATTCTTTGTTTTTGCACCACACCCAGTGCTCCATGCAATCCGTGCCCTCTCCAATACCCACCACCTGGTTCCCCCAACCTCCCCCCCCCCCCCCCTTCAAAACCCTCAGATTGTTTTTCATGCTTTTTTAAAACGATTTATTTGAGAGAGAGAGAGAGAGAGAGAGAGAGAGCATACAGGCACGCATATGTGAGTGGTGGGAGGCAGGAAGAAAGGGAGATGTGCAGATTCCTCCCTGAGTGGAGAGTCCCACTTGGGGCTGGATCCTAAGATCCTGAGATTACGACCTGATCTGAGAACGAGAGTCAGACACTTGACTGACCAAGCCACTCAGGCACCCCTACCTTTTTCCCATTTGTTAGATAAAATAGTTAGTGCTTTTTGTGAGTGTTAATTCACATTAGATAAACAGTAAAATCCTGTTGTCCATCATTTGGAGTAAGAGCAAAATCATCCAGTAACATGGATTTGCTTAGAAGAACAGAAATTAAAAATGTTTCTTAAGGGGAGCCTGGCTGCCTCAGTCTGTAAAGCATGCAGCTCTTGATCCCAAGGTCATGAGTTAGAGCCCCATTTGGGCACAGAGCTTCCTTAAAAAATAAGAAAATAAAAAATACTTTATAAAAATTTTTCAAAAAATATACCTTAAATTTTAGCGGAAATATATATATATATATATTTCTGATATTTATGTGAAATATATTTTTGTATTTTGCTTTTGAATAATAGGAGAGATGTCATTAGTGGCTTCCCTTTTCCTCTTTATTAACAACGATACTCCCAGAATTCATTAAAAATTGTGTGAAAAGTTTATTATAGGGAGCTAATAGAATCATGAGTTGTTACCAGATTCATAAAAAAGCCATTACTGAAACAGTGTAAAGATTTAAAATTCTTATTTAATAAAAACTATTTGAATACATGCTCCCTGTTGAAAAATTACTAGGAAAAATTACTAAGGAAGAAACTTAAAATTTTTGAATATACATCTGGTATTTATACTTTTAAATCTTTTGCTATACATGACTATATATCAAAAATGGGTTCATGTTGTTTATTACCTCTGTACCTTGCCTTAAGAAGAAACTTTATTACTATTATTTTTATTTTATTTTTAAAATATTTCATGTATTTATTTGACAGAGAGAGAGACGGCGAGAGAGAGAAAACAAGCAGGAGCAATGAGAGAGGGAGAAGCAGGTCTCCCGCTGAGCAGGGAACCTGATGGGGGGCTCCATTCCAGGACACTTGGATTATGACCTGAGCCAAAGGCAGCCGCCTAACGACAGCCACCCAAGCGCCCCTGCTATTACTATTTTTTAAAAGATTTTATTTTTAAGTAATCTCTCCACCCAGCATGGGGCTCCAGTTTACAACCTGGAGATT